TATGTTCAGGGTATTTGAGATTTATGTTTATCTTAGCAGTAAGTATCCTCAACACCGCTTTTAATTAGATGATGTATAAGAATCTAGGTTTGTTTTGATAAGTTTGTATCAAGCACGTTTACGTATGTTATATCATATAATTTATATGTAGTTTTAATTAAGTAAATCACCGCTAAATAAATTAAAATCTAAATTACTTTGATAGTATAAATATCTAGATAGTTGTGTATTATTAAAAACATGTTATAATAATGAATGCTTTGACAAAACAAATCTATACTAAACCAAAATAAAACTATTCAAGTGATTTAATATAATTATTAATCCTTTTGTGCACTTGGCTATTTTTTGTTTGCTATGTAAAATCCAATATAAAATTGCAATAAAACTCTTTGATGTAAAATAAAATTCAATTTATTTTTCTAACATTATATTTATTGCCAAAAAAAGTTTACAAAGAAATGTTAATAAACTAATAAAATAAAATATTTAATTAAATGCGAAAATTATTTAGTAAAACAAATGATCAATCAATTTAAAAAATTATATTAAAATAACATTAAAGTGAAATATAAAATGGAAACAAAATTAATTACATGCAAAAAGTGCTAAATAACCCGAAATACCGTATAATGTAATGTAACTATTAAAGTTAAAATTTTACAAAAATTAGATTTAAATCATTAGTGATTAAAAATATTAGACCCGGTAATGGGTTCCTGGTTTAAATGGCTATAGGAATGGCCTAAAAGCTGTTGCCTAACTCCTTGACGTCCCTCTTGTATAGAGTCCAGGCGTGTCCGGAATGGTTGTCATAATTGCGTCCATTGGACAGACAGCTGCCAGTCTTGACCCGGTAGCCGATGTCCAGCAACTTATTCAACACCCGCACCGGTGCGTCCTCTACCCGGAACTTCCAGTACCGTCCGTGCGGGTCGTATTGGGACTCACCCTTCAATTGGCGATTAAAATTGAATACAAATTATTTGTTTATTTTTAAATATTATTGTATATTTTCATAAATGATTAATTTAATGTTCGGTCTATTTGTTCTAATCATTTTGATAAACAATATGTGATTTTAATTTACTTTTGCTGCTAATGTTATTCAATGGCTTACGATATTTTAATTATAAATATAGCATAGCAATTAATATAACCTAATTTAAATTTTCATATTAAACTATTAAAATCGAGAATAATTTTAAGAAAAAATAAATATAATAGTTGTAAACCAATACCTGATAAAAGATGGTATCCTTGATGATAGTGAGGGGTAACTTCTCGTGTAGATAGGGGTCAATACTGGACAGTCTGGTGGGGCCCCTATGGAAGTCCTCGGTTGACACTAACACATACGACATAATGTTTTTTGTTTCAATATTACACTTTTCGGGATAAAAATAAAATATTGAAACAAAAAAACTTTGTTATGATTTCCTTCACAAATAATAACTACGAGTAGTATCGCAACGAAACCAATAATGACTTCAATGGTTAACACAATCGGAGCCGTGTTTTCAATGTTAAGGACAGACACCGACTGTTAGACAATAGTGTGAATGCGATGTGTTTTAAAGGCTATAATGAATGCCGTGTTTAGTGTTGTATTCAGCAGTGATTCACATCAGGAATCCGAAGCGAAACCTGTAGTCAAACCATATTCTGGTGTATATTCTGTGAATGCCTTTCACTAACGGCACGCAATCCTACGGCTCCGGTATTTGGCGACTGTTTTTAGCATAGTTTGCAACCAGTGATGGTCACAACTGGGGGCGAAGGGGTAGTCCAGAGATCATTGATTTTAAATATTTAGCAATATTTTTATAAATTAATAAAAATAATAATTATAACTAATAACCAATTTAGTATATTTATAAATAATGATTAAATTATTCTTATCGATAAAACCCCTAAAATAATTTCTTAACTCCTTTGCATGTGTCGACACATTAGTAGAGACTATCCTTTGGTTATCAAAAAAGTTATTTAAAAATATATTTGCCTTCAAAAACAAAACACACTCTTATTGTGTTCACTACAGTATAGTGTAGTATATTTTGAGTGGAAATACATATTTCTTTTATAATTAATTTCGTGTTCGTTTCGATTAAATGCTTTTCTTTTGAAAACTTTTTTTCAGTTGTAATTAATATTTGCTTTCTATTATTCATAGCATTATTATTTTGATTATTATTAATATATTTACTTATTTTTAGTGCTTGAAGACCAGCTCACGATCTCTCAGACTCTCTCTCTCTCTCTCTCTCTCCCTCTCTCCCTCTCTCCCTCTCTCCCTCTCTACCTGACCCTCGATAAGCCTACTATTTATTTAACATAAATGCATATTTTTTCCAATGTATCTAAATTGTCAAAAGTAAATATTTTTAATCATACATTACTGTTAAAAGCTATTTAAATAAATATTTGTTTTGTTTTTTACTGATTAAACATAAAAACAAAAATAAGTTTAAATATAAAATTACATTCAAAAGCGATTAAATTTAAAGCAGCATATAATCGATTGTTTTGAGATTTTTATTTGTTTTATTAGTATATTATTAGTTGTATTAGTAGTTAATTATGTGATTGATTTGTATTAACTGTGAAATAGAGTAGGAATCGGAGGGAACAGGTGTTTGTGTGGCCAAGGCTTCCCAAAATATACCGCATATTATATCAAATTTATTATATTATAAATATATATAAAAGACAAAATGAAATGTGATTTTCAAACATAATTAATAACTTCTGAATAGTTTTCTCGAGAAAAAGTTCGTATAATAAACTATAACTGAGAAGACCTTGAGTGCAAACAAATTACTAATTTCTGTGTTCATTATATACGATATTAGTGTTCATTTGGTCACGAAATTAATCAACACTTGAAATAAATGTGACTTTTTTGAGGCAAATAATGTTCAGAAATAATAAGCAATTTGTGTGCCATTCAAACGCAATGTGCATATCATGTGTGAGAATACTATAGGAATATTCATTTGTCAAGAATTTTGTCATTAGTTAAACATTTTATTTTAAATTGTAATAAATTTTATTTGTTGTGTTGTATTGCAATCAAATATTTATGTAAATGGCATTTTAAGGGTTATATAAATAATAGTAATTAAAATAAAATAATTTTATATAAATCTAAAATTGTGATCTAATATTTTAGAGGTATTTAATTATCAATTAAATTGGTAATGACTGTTAAAATAGTTTACTAACAATAATAATTGACTATTTTGGTTACTAGCTTACTATTGAATAATAACTATTCACTAATATATAAACAATTTATTATAATTTATTCAACTAAATGGGTGTATATTAGCCTTAAGTATATTCTTGAATTTTATTAAGTATTTAATAAGTTATACAATATTTCAAAACACAACAGGAAATCATTGAAACATATTTGCATTATTTGAAATTTATATTTACACAAATATTTTAGAAACAAAAGTTTGTTTTAATATCATATTATATAAAATATATATTTCTATTAATAAATTGTCAAATCATTTCAATTGATATACATTTCAATGAATAGCATTGAAAAATCTTTTTGTATTTTTGACGCAAATTAATCAATTGATTGTAATCCAAGCTATTGTGTAGCAAATAATTATTATTCAATAATTTATGAATACTTTATCCATAAATATAAATATTTCTAATATTTAATATTCAATGAAATACCTGAAGAATCACTCAAAACATTGAAAAGTATCTGTATTTGTAAATGTATTCATTACTACAAAATATTAACTCTATTTAATTAATTTAAAATGTTCAATACACATTTCTATACTACTGTATAACCTATTACAATAGTAAGAAAACAAATTATAATACTAGTATCATACTTTACAAAACAATTCATTGATTGTCCGATATATTCATGAATACAATTGTAATTACTGATGACTTGAAATGAGTAATAGATATCTTAAAAGATGTATCAAGATTATTTTGTAATTTTATGATTGAATTTTAAAAACTTAATAATAGTTCCCAACCTTTTGGCTACACTTCCCTATCGTTTCGATCGGAATACTTATAATAATAATAATAATAATAATTTCTAATGACTTATAGGTGGCCGGGACCGGGGGTAGGGCGGGCTAATACATCAAATGCTATGATAATTGTTGTTTAAGTGGAAAATTATGATAAACAAGAATTTAATTTTTAATTTTCAAACTTCTTTCAAATGCAGGAATATATTCACAATTATTGATAATTATATGACCAATAGTAATAATAATAGTAACAGTAATAGACAGTATAAATTGCAGTGAATGTATAGTTTTTGCCTTTTATAACACAAAATGTATTGAAATTCATTGACTGAATGAACACATTGACTGTTTGTATGTTTGTATTTTTGGCCACAAAATGCAATTCACGACACATTCTCTAAGGGATGCATTTGTGACCAAAATATTTGTGAACAAGTTTCCAACTAAATTATCATTTTATTAGAGAATTATTTACATTAATTTGAATATATTTTTATGATTTACGGTTTTATTTTATAAAATGAAACTATTATTGTGTTTATTATCATATATAATATTGTGTTAAAAGTATAATATTTCAATGCATTCATACATACATTCATTTAATTTATAGTCAAATGCTTTGAATAAAACTTATAAAGTTATAAAAACTGTAATTTTGTCTCATTTCTCGCGATTAAATCAAACTTTTGGTTTTTAGTCATAAAAAAGTCCGACAAAATAGTGAGCGCACAGTGAGAGCACAGGCGCTCGTAATACCAGTGCCGTGAGTTTGGTTCTCATTCTTGTGGCCATTATTGCTATTTATCTTTAAATTGAAATTCTTTGAAAATGAGGAGTAATGAGGAGGGGGTCGGCCATCGAAGCGCTCTTTTGATTACACTTTGTTTTGAGAGAAAGTATTGAAACGAAAACTTTTAGATTAAACTCAATATTCTTGTGGTTATGCTTAGGATGTCGTGAATAATACAATAAAAATATACGACTTTTGCAAACATTCGGGCCTTTAATGTACCGCCGGCGCCGCCAATCATAACAACAAACCTCAGGCGCACTACAAGAGCGAGACGGGACTCATCGACGACTTCGACTACCCTTTCTGTGATGATGTCTCCAAGTATGAGAAGCTCACCAAAATTGGACAGGGTATGTATGACACACACACACCTCCCGGTGCCCACACGGACACCCATTCAATGCCCACCGCCGTAGTGTCCGCACATGTATGACAATTAAGTGTACGGTCAGAGTAGGACATGCTTTGTAACACCCTTCCCCTCCAACTCTTGTCACTCACCCAAAAAACGCCTGTCCTTTGCGGTCAGTCCCAAGTCAGTGCCCCCCACAGACCTCCCTTTCCTCTACACCGTAACGCCTGTCCATACAAATGAGTTGTGCGACACTCTCGTGGGGGGTATTGTGTACCTCGTAAGAGCACCCATACGTGAGCACCGGGATGTAATTGACACTATTAAACGCACTGAACACTAACCGCTCGCATACCCGTCCCCTACCCTGTCCTATAGGCACGTTCGGTGAGGTGTTCAAAGCGAAGCACCGGCAGACGCGTAAGATCGTGGCGCTCAAGAAGGTGTTGATGGAGAACGAGAAGGAGGGCTTTCCCATCACAGCGCTCCGGGAGATAAAAATCCTGCAACTCTTAAAACACGAGAACGTCGTCCCACTGATCGAGATCTGCCGGACGACCACCCGGACGGACAGTTCGGCCAAATATAAGGCCACCTTTTACTTGGTGTTTGACTTCTGTGAGCACGACTTGGCGGGCCTACTGTCCAACGTTAACGTCAAGTTCTCGATGGGAGAGATCAAGAAAGTGATGCAACAGCTGCTGAACGGCCTGTTCTTCATACACTCGCAGAAGATACTGCACCGGGATATGAAAGCGGCCAACATATTGATCACCAAGAATGGTGTGCTCAAGTTGGCCGACTTCGGACTCGCCCGGGCTATCTCCACGTCCAACAAGAGTCACGCTAATCGCTACACCAATCGCGTGGTGACCCTCTGGTACCGGCCCCCGGAGCTGCTGCTCGGCGAGAGGAACTACGGCTCGCCCGTCGACTTGTGGGGCGCCGGCTGTATAATGGCTGAGGTATTGACGCGTTTTATTTGCCGTGTTTTTGAGTTACGCTTTTAATTGACTTTAATTTATTGTATATTAACTGTACGTCTAATCCCCGCCCTTTTGGCGCACTGGTAGATGTGGACGCGTAGCCCCATCATGCAGGGCGCCACCGAACAGATGCAGCTCAACCTAATCAGCCAACTGTGCGGCTCCATTACCCCGGAGGTGTGGCCGGGCGTCGATCGGCTCGAGCTCTACAATAAGATGGAGCTCCAGAAGACACAGAAGCGCAAAGTGAAGGACCGGCTCCGGGTGTATGTGAAGGACCCGTACGCTCTGGACATGTTGGACAAGCTGTTGATACTGGACCCCAGCAAACGCATGGACTCGGACTCGGCGCTCAACCACGACTTCTTCTGGTCGGATCCCATGCCTCAGGACCTGTCGAAGATGTTGTCCCAACACACGCAGTCCATGTTCGAGTACCTGACGCCCGCCCGGCGCCGGGTGGTCGGCCCACCGCCCCCTCAGATGCCGGTGGGCGGTGTGGGCGGCGGCCCCGCCGGTCACGGAGCGCATGGAGCCCATCAGCAGCCCAGGCCTACGTCGGCGGCCGACGCTCAGTACGTCGACAGAGTTTTTTGATGCCCTCACCGCCCGTTCCCTTTCGCTGTGCGGAAAGACTGTTATCTCAGTTCATATGAATTGTTTGTTTTGTTTGTTTCGACACTTGTCTCACGGTTTGCATTAATATGTCATTTAAGACATCTGTAACTCATTTCCAATAAATTATTCGCAATTGTATTCATGAATATATCGGACAATAAATGAATTGTTTTCTAAATTTGTATAAAACTTGTTGTGTATTCATATAAATTACTGATAAGTTATACGGTAGTAAAGTAATGAGTATTGAACATGCAATATTAATTAAGTAAAGTTAACATTTTGTAGTAAAATAATGATTTTATTACTGACAAATACAGATTTTATTACTTATATAAACAGAAAATGAATTTGAATTAACTTTAAATATAACTTTAAATTAACCTTCATTTCTAATACAGTATTAGCATAATACAGTACAGTATATAGTCAAATGCTTTGAATAAAAATAAAGTTATAAAAACTATTTTTGTCTCATTTCTCGCAATTTTTAGTTTCTAGACATAAAGTCCGACAAAATAGGGATTAATAAATAGTTTTTTGTGTAAATATTTTGTTTTTAATTGCAATCAAAATGAACTCAATTGACAAGCAATTTTAATTAAAAAAACAAAATTACAAATCATTTGAAATGTTATTACGGTATGTGTTATACAATTAGTTTCTATTGTAAAGTCAATGAGATTTAATAGATTTTAACAAATATTTCGTTACTTTTATAATAACTATAAATAATTTATAATTTGTGGGCATTTTATAGGATTTACAAACACTTTTAAACTATGTATACATTAACTGTATTTACAATTAGTTTTGCAATCCTTTTAAACTACAAATTCAATTGAAATGACTTCCGATAGTAATTCATACGATTATTTCGGACATAAAACTAATTGCATTTCAATTAACTACTAAAATGTCATTAATCTGTACACACATTAAGTGTCTGTAAATCGCAAAACACTTATTAAAGGCCCGAATGTTTGCAAAAGTCGTATATTTTTATTGTATTATTCACGACATCCTAAGCATAACCACAAGAATATTGAGTTTAATCTAAAAGTTTTCGTTTCAATACTTTCTCTCAAAACAAANCTTTGAACACCTCACCGAACGTGCCTATAGGACAGGGTAGGGGACGGGTATGCGAGCGGTTAGTGTTCAGTGCGTTTAATAGTGTCAATTACATCCCGGTGCTCACGTATGGGTGCTCTTACGAGGTACACAATACCCCCCACGAGAGTGTCGCACAACTCATTTGTATGGACAGGCGTTACGGTGTAGAGGAAAGGGAGGTCTGTGGGGGGCACTGACTTGGGACTGACCGCAAAGGACAGGCGTTTTTTGGGTGAGTGACAAGAGTTGGAGGGGAAGGGTGTTACAAAGCATGTCCTACTCTGACCGTACACTTAATTGTCATACATGTGCGGACACTACGGCGGTGGGCATTGAATGGGTGTCCGTGTGGGCACCGGGAGGTGTGTGTGTGTCATACATACCCTGTCCAATTTTGGTGAGCTTCTCATACTTGGAGACATCATCACAGAAAGGGTAGTCGAAGTCGTCGATGAGTCCCGTCTCGCTCTTGTAGTGCGCCTGAGGTTTGTTGTTATGATTGGCGGCGCCGGCGGTACTCCCGGTGCTCACCGGCGGCTGCGATGACGACGACTGTGTGGACGACGCCGAGTGTCCGCCACTGATATCCGCCATCCCTTTCCCCGACCGCGTGTGTGGTGTGGCTCTCAATGGACGGCCTGTCCGTTGACTCTCGTGTTAATGAACTGATGGTTTGACTCGTGTTTTGAATGACAAGTAAATCACAACTGAATTGACGGCCAATTAGTAGTCATTTGTTTGATTTGTTTTTGGCATCCGATTCGTTAGACACATGTATTAGTGAACGCATACATTGTTACGCGTGTGAGGGGTGAGTGTGTGGTCAGATAAACATACGTTAACTCATCAATAAAATTCCGTTTATAAGAATATATTCAATAATTTTCCTATAAAAATATACTAAATCGTTTATAAGTTTAATAAAGCATTCGTTGGCCCCAGTAATAGTACATATAATTTAGTGCTTAAAATGCAAATGATTAGCGCAGGGTAGTTCAATTGGGTTTATATTGTGTAACAATATTTATGAATAGTAGTATCCTATAGATGTCGTTACGTGTGTTGTACTGTCGTATTATTTAATGCAAAATCATATGACGTTTGTCTAAATTGCAGTAAACATACTGTTAGAAAAATGTGTGACACATAACTTGCAAATTTTTGTCCCCTTAGTGTATAACTTAAGCAAATGTCCGATACACTCACTCAATTGGTTGTAACATTTGTTGTGTACTGAGATTACATATAAACACTATTAAGATAGGCAATAGTCATCTGCCGTACGCAAAGCATATTACTTTATTTGTATGTATACTAAACCCATGTTATAGGTATCCATACGAAAACATAGCATGATTTGACAGTTACTGACCCCATATACCGTCGCTTTTAGGTGCCGTTGTATATGACTGGCGCCTCTCATAGTAATGTCTGAATAGCGAGTGAATGGATGAATGCATTGAAAACATACGACAAATACAATCGCATTGAACACTGAAAAGGCGTTTGGATTTGGTTTTTATATTTAGATATCGAATTCTTAATTTAGGCGCTTATGACAGGTGCGCAACTCTCGGTACAGAATGCGGATAGAGAAATTCATGTAGTAATAGCCGCTGTGTCCATAGGTGTGTTTGTGACACACAGGCGTGTGAACGCCGGTCATATCAGACATTCAGTGCTGTAAATGGCGTTCAAAACAAATAGCAGTTTTTGTTTTGTAGTTATTTTTGTATTAATTATTTGTATTTAGTCCTCAAATGTCATTATCGTCTCAATACTGACCATAGGTTTTGTGTCCGATGTAGTGATCACTATATGAATGACTAATGAATTGATGTTTGCTTTCGTATGACATATCACATGACCGTATGGTATGGTATGCGATGTCTTAGGCGTTGGCAAGTCGTGTCTTTTGCTACAATTCACGGATAAACGCTTCCAACCGGTCCACGACCTCACCATCGGTATGATAATTGTCGCCCATTTAGTTGATATACGTGTTGGACATGTGTTTTGTCGCCCACTTGTGTGTCCATTGCGTTGACACTCGTTATCTGTTTAATGGGTTTTCAAAACAAATATTTGTTTTTCCGTTTAATACGGCTTTAAGTATAGGTTTTACTTCTGTGTGTGTTTTGATTGAATTAAATCTCATGTAAATTATGTATGGATTTAGTCGTGTCTATAGAAATGTGTGTTTTTTGTGCCGTTTTTTAGTTTAATGTAAATATTATTGACAAATAAGTATTTAATGAATAGCTTAAGACTTGGGGTTTAGTTTGTGTATACGAAATACACCATTTGTCACTATTAACTCTAAAACTAATCAAAAAAACCAAGTAAATTAAAACCAAATAAATTAATAAAATATTTATAAACAGTGTTAAAATGATTAACAGACAATAAAATACGCGGTTATATTTGCTGGACAACTGTACGGTACGGCACGGGAACAGGTGTGGAGTTTGGCGCCCGTATGATAACCATCGATGGCAAGCAGATTAAGCTCCAGATATGGGACACAGTAAGTGATGGATTAGATTATACGGTGATTGTGTGTAGTGGCGATGATAGTAGTCAATGATTACCAGTGCAATCAATGCCTACAGTGTAATGTTAGTCAATGAAATGATCATTAAGTATTGAGTGAATCATGAGAATTGTGTTTACATTTTGTGTGATTTTTTCTGACGTTTATATTATTTTGACTCCTATTTCGAGACATGTTATGCGTTTTTGATATGCGATAAGAGGTTTTGGAGTAATTTTCTATCGTTAAGTGTTAATGACTTTTGAGGTTTTAGTTGTTTTTTAGTGCTTTTTGAGGGCTTTTTCTGTTGTTTTAAAAGTTTTATAATTTTTTTTTATAACTGACGAGTGAATAAGTATTTTAATTGCAAATTAATGGCAAAAATTCCCCGAAAGTCAAGGTTTTAGGAAATGTTTAATCAGTTTTTTATTTTGGATTTAGTTTATGTTTTATGGACTTTTAATATTGAAATTAACTTTTAATTCGGTTATTGAATCGATTGGTTATTATTAACTTAATTTTTGTATATTTTTATAGCAAATGTTTATTGAAAACACATTTTATACAGTATCTATTTTATTGTTTTTATAGTTATTAATAACATATTAGCAAAACATCTGACAAATGGTTTTTGGGGTTTATATTTAGGTTTTGAAAGAAATTATTTATATATTAATAATTGCTATAAATCTCTCGCAATACACTGTTTGATGTGTATTTTATACACCATATAAATGAATTCAATTAATTATTGAAAGCAAACAAACAATTCTGTGTCCCAACGCTAATCAATAACTCAATTTTAGTTTATGTGGTAAACAGTGATAATTGAGATTTTGATTAGTTTTTTTGGTTCATTTAATTTTGGTTTATTTAATTATTTTATAAATATTTGTCACAATTTTACTAATTGTCTGTTATTTTATGCGCCAATAATTTGCTGGACAACTGTACGGTACGGCATGGGAACAGGTGTGGAGTTCGGCGCCCGTATGATAACCATCGATGGCAAGCAGATTAAGCTCCAGATATGGGACACAGTAAGTGATGGATTAGATTATGCGGTGATTATGTGTAGTGGCGGTGATAGTAGTCAATGATTACCAGTGCAATCAATGCCTACAGTGTAGTGTTAGTAAATGAAATGATGATTAAGTATTGAGTGAATCATGAGAATTGTGTTTACATTTTGTGTGATTTTTTCTGACGTTTATATTATTGACTCCTATTTCGAGACGTGTTATGCATTTTTGATGTGCGATAAGAGGTTTTGGAGTAATTTTCTATCGTTAAGTGTTAATGACTTTTGAGGTTTTAGTTGTTTTTTAGTGCTTTTTGAGGGCTTTTTCTGTTGTTTTAAAAGTTTTGTATAACTGTTTTTTTGTATAAAAGTTTTTTTTATATAACTGACGAGTGAATGATAAGTATTTTAATTGCAAATTAATGGCAAAAATTCCCCGAAAGTCAAGGTTTTAGGAAATGTTTAATCAGTTTTTTATTTTGGATTTAATTTATGTTTTATGGACTTTTAATATTGAAATTAACTTTTAATTCGGTTATTGAATCGATTGGTTATTGACTTAATTGTTGTATATTTTTATAGCAAATGTTTATTGAAAACATATTTTATACAGTACCTATTTTATTGTTTTTATAGTTATTAATAACATTAGCAAAACATCTGACAAATGGTTTTTGGGGTTTATATTTAGGTTTTGAAAGAAATTATTTATATATTAATAATTTGCTATAAATCTCTCGCAATACACTGTTTGATGTGTATTTTATACACCATATAAATGAATTCAATTAATTATTGAAAGCAAACAAACAATTCTGTGTCCCAACGCTAATCAATAACTCAATTTTAGTTTTGTTTTATGATATTCTTTAGTCTAACAGTAGTTTATGTTATTTAATATGAAATGAAATCATTTATAATGTGCTAAATATGTGATGAAAAATGTGTCCAACAAATGACCATTTATTTCACTATCAAGTTTAGTGTACTTTTGAGGTTAGGGATTATTTGAATCGTGTTTATTATGACATAATCGTTGGTTAGCTATAGACCTGTGCTTTGGGCTAAATCTGTGTTCACTATAAACAGTATCTAATCACTGATTAGTAATCAGTTATGAATGAAACGGTAATAATTGTGTCGACCCCCTCGAACACCTCTACAGGCGGGTCAGGAGGCGTTCCGATCGATCACCCGGTCCTACTACAGGGGAGCGGCCGGCGCTCTACTCGTGTACGACATCACCCGTCGCGACACATTCAACCACTTGACGACATGGCTGGAGGACGCGCGTCAGCACTCGAACTCAAATATGGTTATTATGCTGATCGGCAATAAGTCGGACCTCGAGTCGCGCCGGGAGGTCAAGAAGGAGGAGGGCGAGGCCTTCGCCAGAGAGCACGGCTTGATATTCATGGAGACCTCTGCCAAGACGGCCGCCAACGTCGAGGAGGCCTTCATTAACACCGCTAAAGAGATCTACGAGAAGATCCAGGAGGGCGTGTTCGACATCAACAATGAGGTACCGGTGCTCTTGTCATGTGTCTTATCTGTCTGCCCTTTGCTTGTGTATTGGTTTTGGCATTTTTAGTGTTTTATGTTTCGATTGATTGTATAAAGTGTTTGAAGTGTTGTTTAACATTATTGTCTATCCGTTTAGGCAAATGGTATCAAAATAGGTCCCCAACACTCGCCTACGAACCCCTTACCAGCCGGTAGTCAAGGATCTAATCAGGGAAGCGGTTGCTGTTAAGTGTAAACCAAAAACTTTTATCATTAATCTAATGGACAAATGTGTTGACAACGTTTTTGGATGTCTTTCTATTTGTGAACAACTATTAATAAACACTATGTTTTGCTTCAATTTAATAATTAAATTATTGTTTTTATAAAATCATTTTCTGGTTACTTTCGCCGATTTACACGAAATATTTGTTTAATTCTCACTCAATATCTCTTTAATTTGAGTTTATTTTTGTTTTTATATATTAATAGTAATGTCACTCTTTGTCGTGAAATTAGTTTAAAATTTTATATATAAAAGTTTTAATTGCATTCATATCGATAACATTATGTTATGAAAAGCGTCTCTAAAAGATTGAATTATTGAAACAAATTGTTATTTAATTTTTTTTGTCTACCGATGAGTAACTGTACAGTAAATACCGATTATAATGAACACCATATTAATGAGTGCACACTTACTTCATACCATTTCTCGCCATTGGTTCACGAGATTTGATTTTAATATAATTATAAATATAATTGATTTGATTTGTAATATTTAATTATTCACAAACAAAAGCATTCAATTAAAAAATATATAAACAGTATATATTATATTATGAAATATTCTAATTATTGTATTAATTGTGTAAATCATTGATTATTATATAAATATTAATTTTATTGAAAACAGCTTTGATTTAAATGTATTTTTTAATGAGATTATAATGTATTTCCAATACTTTGTTTTGAATGCCATTTGATAACAAAATTGGTTTTTTAAACACTTATTGAATTTGAATTATACGACAAAATACACGATATGTTACTGTTATGTCCCAAACATATACATCACTAGTCAGTCAACTATATTGTAAATTGTTATATCAATTGATTTGTCGATTGAATGAATCAATTAATTATTGATTTGAACACACATTCCATACAAACAACACAATAGTTGATAATATTATCAGTAGTTTTGACATTAGTTTTTTCTTATACAGTACTTTGTATTTTTTGCATATTTTGTTTGAGAGTATTAATAATTTTCAAATTATTTGCCGTAAATCGTGAGATAAATACTGATAAAAAACACTATTTATTATATGAATTTATTCAATGGTTTTATTGTGGAAATAAAAAACTGCGAGAATTTGCTAAAACTTTTTGACAAAATCTTTATAACATTTATGAATATAATTTCTGATTAAATATATTTCAATAAATTAAACTCGAAATGTAAATTACTTGTATTCAATTAATTATTAATTCAATTATATTTTAACACTTATCTCAAACAACAACTTAAACCAAATTCTCTAATCAATTGTGCTTTTAATAACAAATTCTTGTCATAAGTTATAAGCGGATAGAAACCTAATTGCAAACCAATAACACAACTCATGTTTAGACTCTGTGAGTACGAGTGGGGGAACTGTAGTGGTCACCGGTAGGTCTATATAGTGTGGATTGACCACCACTACCATTTTAACCACTTAGGTTGGGTTTTGTCCAAAATTCTGGTTTACTTTGATCTTATAGCTAGTATTATCGACTACTTCTTCTGCTGTTGGAATCGATGTGTTTTTGTCCAGAATTTGTTAATTTCTAAGCTTATAATTGCAGTAAATTTATGAATTTTGTTTTTAAAATGTTTTAATTCGTTAATATTTAATGAGTGTTTATTTTTAAAAAGTGCAGCATTGAACATTAGGCTACAGTAGTTATTTTATTTGATAATTATTTGCAAATAGGTAATCGTGATTAACGCTCCTGTATACAAAGTATGAAAAGCAATGTATAAACAAATCATAATATGATGTGGATATTAGACTTATCCTAGAATTTTATTCAATTTGATTGAAACAACCGGATAAATATCGGTATTAGTGTTCAATAAAATCAATAAAATGTTGAATTAACCAAAACATACAGGAGTTGCAAAGGTCTTGGAAATGCCTTTTAATAACTTCTAAATACAATTAATTTCTTAAATAATATGAATGTCAACAGAACTATAGATTCCACAAGAATTGATTTGCTGTCAAATCATTATCACTCAATTGGATTCAGTGTGTAATACAAACACTTATGTGTAATACATGTATGTTATATGATTTTTACAGAAATTACCGTCATTTCAGTTATTGTTATAATTTATACCAATATATTAATATTAATTTAAACCTAACTTGTACGGTAAGTTCATTACTGTATTAGCCCTCAATTAAGATATAGAATATTATTTGTATGAAATTTTTATACACAAAGAATCCGTGGTTTATATCGTATGAAGACTCATGTAATATATTCATAGTTTTGGACAATAATCAAAACCATAATTATAGAGATTTTTTTTGCAAAGTATTTGATTCAATAGAAAAATTTTGAAATGAAAACTATTTATTTGTGATTAAAAAGTATGGCAATTTGACTATAAATAAGACCTTAATTACACTTATTTTAATGCTTATGATCTGTAATAAATAGTTGAATGCAAAAAAAAGTAAACTAAAACTTATTCATTAAAATTGCAATTAAAAACAGAATATTCTTCGGTCTGATTGTAAGGAATTGTAACAAAAAAAAAGTTACAAACTTTTTGCTAATCAATAATCAATAATTAATTTTAGATTTAAAACACATTAATGATCGCAAATCACAAATTAAACTAAAAGTTTTGTTTAGTTTTTAATGAAATCCATTTAAAAATCCGTTGAATCGATGGCACAGACACTAAACGCGGGAACCGTTAGAGAAGTAATATCTTCACCACTAATAACATAATTATCTGTTGACTAATGAGTGACCAGTTGGCGGACAATTGGTCGCCGGACTGTCGCTCGTCACTGAAACTGTTGATCAGTCTCTCCTTAAGAGTTGGTTTAGCGGTGATTATGACAATCGTTGACGCGTTGGGCCGCGAACTCAACGCTTCCTCCGCTTCATCACCGGTCGAGCGCTTCCTCTTCTGGCGGTCGACCGACGCGTCGTCGGTGGCCATCGATGGCAGTGATAGGAGTGGTGTGAGTGGTGTCGAGGGATCCGTTCCGTTGATAATCACATCGAGAGAGCTGTAGTCGAGTCCTAAGCCGAGGCTCGCGTTCACTATAACTGTGGTTAAGACTAACGAAGACATGATTGTGGCGACGATTACGGCGTTCATTGAGTCCAACGCAGACATAATCGCTGTGTTTATGGTGTTTGTGGTGATGGCTATGGATTGTGACCACCGTTTAGGTCACAAAAGCCGCCGATAGTTGTGTCGATGGCTTACGACAAGTGAAACACAAAACTTGTATTTGATATGCATTTCAATGCACTTCTGCTTTACAGCCCTTTCGCGAACAAATGCTTTGCTTTCCATTCAATTCAATCCCACAATCGCTTCAACATTATGTGAAATAACGATGTTTTTTGGTCACAAACTTATGTAATGATTGGAAAACATTTATCAGTTTCTAATAATAAGTTTGGTTTTGTTGTCTAAATGAACAAATATCTCAAAAAATTATTTTCATTTAAAGGCCCGAATGTTTGCAAAAGTCGTATATTTTTATTGTATTATTCACGACATCCTAAGCATAACCACAAGAATATTGAGTTTAATCTAAAAGTTTTCGTTTCAATACTTTCTCTCAAAACAAAAGTGTAATCAAAACAGCGCTTCGATGGCCGACCCTCTCCTCAGTAGTCATCGCCACGACTGACCACTTCCTTGACGGTGGGTCTCAAGAGGATCGTGTGCTCGAACTGAGCCGTAAAACAGCCCTTTTGGTCGCAAAGGGGCGGATAGGGGGCTACTATGCCCTTCTCGCACAGGTCTTTGAGGGCCATGAGGTATCGGGTCTGTCCTAAACGGTCTAACCATCGCCGACAGAACGCCAGAGTACTGAAGCTCTGGTTAATGACATTCAGGAGTTGTTTGGATTTCGCCAAACTGTGCGGCAAATCAAACAAATCATTACAACTCGGAATCAATACACTATACACTGGTCGATGGCATACCGGAGCGGCACATGTCCCACATCGAAGTTCTTCATGTAGTGCGAGGTCTCCATGTCGTCGTGAACGTAGCCCTTACCGGTGCTCCCGAACGTCTCAATGGCATAGAACTCGCCTTCCTATACACACAACACAGGTATAGAGACATCACATAACAGTTCCCGACTCAGTGTCCGACATTCCACCCATACCTCCATTTTGGTCTGTTCGCCGCCCTTCACAATGGGAACAGTCTTTCCCGCGTGTATTCTGTAGGGACCGATGGAATGGCCGTTCAGATTGCGAATGGACTTCACTGTATGGACAAACAGACAGACATCAACACCATTACTATGGCCTCAACTGCCAAACCAATGGCACAAACCTGGATACACTTTGCCGTCGATCTCCACCTCATAGGACTCCATGACCTCCTGAATGGCTTCGCCCACATCGCACAGCCTCACGTCAATGCCGGCCTCTCTGATGCCCGTATTGGTCGCATCCCTCACCGCTTCCAGCAGTTTGTCGTACTTGTGGTCGAAGGCGACAGTGAAGGCGCAGTCAATGATCCGGCCGTTGATATGAGTCCCGAAATCTATTTTGCAGACGTCGTCGTACTGGAGGACAGTCGGGTCGCCCGCGTTGGGCGTGTAGTGCGCGGCGCAGTGGTTGAGCGAACAGCCCGTCGGGAACGCCAGACCCGCCGACAGCCCGTTCTCGCCGATCAGTTTGCGCGCCGTCTCCTCCAGTGTTTCGCTGAGACATTAGACACAAGAATTAGTCATCGCTTCCACGTCTTGAGCGACCGGCGCATTGTATACCAGATCTCAATCATCGTTAGCCCGGGTTTGATGACTGTCTGCATGTATTTCCTCGTCTGTCGGTGCGCTTCGGCCGCCAGTCGTAACTCCTTATAGATCTCAACGCTCGCCGAATCCAGCGCTCGCTTCTCGGCCGAAGTCATCCGGTTCTGAGCGGTGCGGCTGAAGGGGTGTCACCACAAGAGACCCATTAAAACACACACAACACTACCACTCGTCACATACCTGTCCACAGGGATTGGGTGCGCCATCTCCTGTCCCACCGGGAAGTTCGTGTCGGGGAAGAGGTCTGCGATGGGAATCGTCGGCGGATTCGTCTGCTGTTTGCCTGAAGAGCCGCCGGCGCCCGCATCGGTCGACTGTCCCGTCGCTGACGACGCCTTCGCTTTACTCTTCTTCTTCTTCTTCGACTTCTGTTGAGTCGACGCGTCGTCCGCCGCCTCGTCGTTGTCGCCGCCCATCGGCTCCGTGTCCTCATTGGCCGCTCCGTTGGCCACGTCTTTGGCGCCGCCATTGACCGCCAGACCGGTCATCGACTCGCTTAAGACCTCTTCCGCCGCTTTCGTCGCCTTTTTCTTCTTCTTGCGGTTCCTCTTCTTCTTGGCGTCCGTCAAGTGATCGCCGTTTTGGTCGTCAATGAGCTCTTCGTTGGCGTCGTCCGCCTCCTCGTCGGCGGCCGTTGTCTTGTGTTTGGTCTCATCGGTGAGCACTGCGGCCATCGTTGCAGTGGTGGTAGTGATGGTTGTGGTGGCGGTGGTAGTGGTGGTCCTCCTAGTGGTCGGCGCAGTGGCGGTGATCGGCTCGGGATGTGTTGTCTTCGGCAGTCAAACAAATTGTGTCCAAAAGTAGTGACAAAACGATTAAAGCATTGATTTTGTGCTGATTTTGAGGCATAAATAGTGCGACAAATAGTGAGACACTGTTTGCGCACAAAACACTCGTATCTAACGCTGTATTAATCGTTGATAAAGGGAACCAAATCTTTTAATACTCAGTGCTATAATTTGGTACTTTTTCTTATAGAGTCGTTTGCGACTCTTTTGAAACGAATTGCACGCATATATACGACGGCCGATATGTGTCGCTCGCATATCCTTTGTATTGAACGCTATATTAAATAGAACCAAAACCTTTCACATATGAACAGTACTGTTGGCCCCTTTTTATGTAACTATTTAGTAGTGCAATTCAAAATGGTTTTTGAAAATTGAGTCGTTTATGAAGTTTTTACAGGTTTTTTGGTATTACTGTAATAATTGAGTTATAATTATCAATATATTGAACACCTGTACACCTGTAGACTTCATACACGTATAATATTACTGATAACTTGGATGTAATCATAAGTTTCACACCTTATATGAGTTTTATTAATACCTTATCAATCTTAGTCTATAGTTCAATAGTCTTTCAGTCAATAATTGTATTCATGAATCAACAGAATATTCCTCAAACACACTATACATACGGCACAGAATTAACACACTTTTCTCAATATACTTATTATGAATGCATTGAAATTCTTTGAATAAGTTATTCATTACACTGTAATTATAACTCATAAACACTATGTATACTATAATTTGTATATTTATTACAAAATACATGTTTAAAAATTTGAAAGTTTGATGATAATATTTTATAAATAACACAAAATATTCAGTTTTATTATATTTTGTAATTTCAAAAAACATTTTAATTATTAATTTGTTGATAAACTATTATAGGTTTCGTATGAAATAAATTTTATTTTTAATTAATTATTTGTCTCTAAACCCTCTGAACCTAACCAATGATTACATAAGAGAATGCAATTTATTGGCAAAAAGTTATAAATATATAAAATACTAATAAATTCGGCAATAAATACTCAATAAAATAATTCAATTAAGTAATTAAATCTTTATATGTATTAACCAAATAACAAAAAATTTTAATTTAGTTAATAGTTAAACATTTATGTAATTTATTGAAATGTTGGATTTTGGGATAAATATTTTTATCTATGTTTTAATTTAAAAATATTATAATTCATAATAATTATAAACTTTTAACACAGTAATTTTATTCCAGACAAATGTATGCATTTTACAATATTATTGAATGCATTACTTTTCAGGTTTATTAAATCGACTCTATTATGAAATTTATAAAATAAGAATATTTTAATGATAACCAATACCTGTAATATTATACTTCATTAGGCAATTTTGTTTCAGACATTAGACATTTGTTTTATAAATGTCCTACATATACTTTATTTATTAATGAAATTATAACATAAGTTGCAATATTAAAAAAGGGAGTCAATATCGAGACAAATATTTCATTACTATAACAATAAACTAATTAATAAAACACAACAAAAGTCATTTAAATACCAATTTTATTACATTTACTGTAAATCAATATTCTGTACATAAAAAATCGTTGAGACAATACATGTTATACAACAGAGAATAATGTAAAATGAATTAAATATTTCTATCACAATAATAGCTTAAGAATTATTTCGTGTTTAAAGCTATTAAATAAATATTTATTATACATTTATTACATACACACTTGTAATATAGCGTAAGTTTATTGAATATAAATTACATAAATTTTCTAATCTAATTATTTTAGATTTTTACAAATAGTGTTTGATTTGACATATTTTTAAAAGAAATCAATAATTATTTTGAAAACTAATCAAATATTAGTAAACCTATTAGGATTATTGATAGATAAATGTATTATGAAAATAGCATTTTCAATATTTTATAAACTATTATTAACCTATTATATAGTTTGATATTTATATATGTAAATAGCAAATAGAATTCAATTATTTTATAATGAATAATTGAATTGAAATAAGATTATATTGAATGCCCTTTAAACTTAAATATAAATAATACGCGGTATAATACATATTTCTAAAATTATGTCACTATTCACGTCAACACACAATACAAATATTTACTATTTTTGAAAGACTTGTTATTAATAAATAAGCAATATTATTTTTAGTGCTATTTTACTATTTTTATGGATTCCTTATATAAATCGATTGAAAGCTAACTTTTATACTATTATAACCTGTAATAAAATATAACAAAAATAATACTTCTATTCATAAAATTCTGTGATCATCGACAAAATGCAACAAAAAAATATTCATTTAAACATGAATTCTTGATAAATAGTTAAAGTAATGCAATTTTCTTAACATAATACTGTGCAATACCATTAGCAGCAATCAACTTTATAAATCCTAATGCTATAAACCCATAATAGCTAACCAATCATTTAATTGAGTTCAAGTGAAATATTTTTGTCACAAAATTGCTTTCAATATACAAACTTAGTATTAGTGCATTTGAAGTAAATTACTATTAATAATTAGATGTAATTTTGTATTAGTAGATTATTGAACAGTTTACAAGTATATAAAAGTTGTACAAAAAATTACTATTTTAGTATACATTTCTATTTCAAGGATTACCAGAATTTTTGTATAAAACTTATGTTATTAAAAACTCTTTAAACAGTATTTGAAAGTCAAAGTGGAGTAAAGTACACTGCACCTATGAATAAACTATAATATATTTATGTTATTTATCTAACAAATCAATAAATAGATTAAGTATTTTGCAATGCATTGAAAAAAATCAATTAAAATTTGAAGCAAAAATACATATATGGCAAAAAATATTAGGCAAACATAAAAAGTTTACGTAACATTAACTACCACCAGAATTTGTCATAAATATTAAATTCATAATATATGCTACAAATTCATTGTATTTGATATGAGAATTAATAAACCATTTAGTGATGTGTATTATAATAAGTTCAACATGTATTATTATATTTTTGAATATTTTAATTTTTCTCAAACAAAAAACATTTACTATAAGTTTTTGCAAAACTATTATTGAATACACGATACGTACTAATGATTGTGTTTTTGTCTGATTGTGTATAAATGGCATAAAACACAAAAAACTTCTTAATAAAAAAATCTATATATTCTCTACTCCAGTGCACTGAATATTACAAACAGTTTTGTATACCGTAAGTGTGTTATGAAATAAATTTTAATAATATATTCCGATAATAATAATAATAATACTCAACATATAAATGAATAAATAAACTAAAAAACACGAGAGAGACACAAACACTCAGAATATTCTGTACCATATTCTGATGTTGCATACGATTGGCGTAAGCGTTGGTACAGTTGTATGTAATATTCAATACAGTAATTAGTATTTGTATCGGAAATGTCGGCAAAACATTAATAATTTAATATTAAATTCATTAGTGAAATGGGA